GTAGATGCTAACATTCGATATAAAGCGAGCGTTCTGTATATTACAATCATTTCCTTTTGGCGCGACCAAACAAAGATTTAAATCATAATTATGCAATCCACTTTCCACTCTATGTTAAACCATATGATGCATTATAAATTTCAGTGGTGTTACACAACGATATTTTTAATTGGTCGCAACATCTATTTGAAATGATTGAAAAAAAAAGGTAAAATTCATTTATCAGCATGGTGTTGTGGGTATATTCGGATATTACCCGCAATGTTATCATTCCGAGAGTCAACGGTCTCGTCTGCTATGACGTGCGCGCACGCATCCCTCCCTTTAAGTTGTTAAACGTATCAAATTTCAACAAAAGCATCTGATATAACATCGCGTGCTTCACAGAAATTGTACGAAGTCTTCTTACTTCTAATTCCAGGGATTATAATGATACACAAATAAAAATATTACAGTTACTATACTATAGGATTTGCCGAACGCAGTGGTAGGATTATGTTGCATATGGATTAAGTAGCAATGATGTACTCAGGTTCGATACCTGGACTGGTCAAAGTAGACAAACGTGTTGAAGCTTGTGATCTATTGTATCTAATGTTTTTTGTATTTTTAGAATAATATATGTGTTTATACTAAAGTTTTTTAAAAGTAACTAAGTAAAGATTGTAATCGTTATATGGCCTGAGTTAAGTGAGCGTACGAATTGTGTTAACCAGATCTTGCTTTTTTAAAAAAATGACACTCAGGATCCTGTCTATCTATCTTCTATCCCTGGCGGGGTAGGCAGAGAGGACCGAACGCCACAATGTACGGTCCTAACACACATCTTTCGCCTTATGCACTTTTATTACTATGTATAAGGTATACCTGAATCTGATGGCATTTCGGGGAATTGTAATTTGTAGAAGACAACATCAGGAATAAAGAGTTAAAGGCATTTTTGATGTCCAAGGACATCGCGACCATCAACTCTCCCCTTCCAGTGGCCAGGCCACTCCACATTCCTCCTTAAGTCAATCTGCTTTAGTTAGTTTATTTTATTCTTTTCATAGTTTCTATTTTTACCCGGCGTAGAAAAATGTCTTCTTCTTCATTAATAATTCGTTTTATTGTAGTACTTGATACGCCAATGAATATAGGTATACGAATCAATTCTTTAAGAATAAAATAGTTACCGATCAATTTATTAAAATCAAAAAATATTCGTCAATCTTCAGCTTCTTTCCACAAATTTTGCTATAAACATTAAAATCATTATTTCTTGCTTGAGATATCAATGGTTTTTTGGACATTTTCACAAAATAAATTAATATTTTCACAAATATTTACATCGATTTATACTTTGATTTGACAGTTGTCAACAATAGGCATTAGGTCAGGTCAACAATATTACTATATATACAATATGTATATATAAAAATATAATATTAAATACTTTTTAAACTACAGAACACTCTACTAAACTTCTATCATGAATCTCGAAACATATTTGGAACTGAGAGAAACATTATCGTCGGTACAATTAATACCTACTAGTAAAAATGTAGTTTTAAGTAAATAGCATGACATATTTATCATCTACAGTTATATAGTTATTAAATCAAGCAAAGACAAAAAGGAATAGAAAAAATAGTGTAGTACCCCACGGCCATAGTTTTTATGATGAAGTTAATAGGCTGAGAGCTAGTGGTTATTTTTTACACAAAGGCGATCATTATTAGTTTTTGTTCGTGTAACACTAATTGGAGTACTAACTTTTATATTCAGTTTTGCTGAATGATTTATCCCCTTGATCTTAAATTGCTTTGTCTTTATCTTTGACTTAATATAGCGTCTTTAATTAAAAACATAGCAATTTTTTATTGTCAAGCGAGTCACATTTATTTACAACATCTATTGGGATTAATTAAGATGCCAACTAGAAGAGTTTAACTTAAGAAATCACCACTGTACGCTACTTATTCTACCAGCGTCTCTACCGCGTATCTGTAGTCCTAATAATATATCAAAATGAATTCCTGAAAGATGACAGATTAAATATCAGCAGACAAATCAGTATTGGTCTGTCCGAAGCTATTCCCGAGGTCTGTCCAGTTTTTTTCTTATCCTGACATACAGATTTATTTAAATTTAGGCAAGGCCGACAGATTCTCCTTAGATTCAGAACCTGATTATAACACATTCAATCAGAGTTTCAGATGGCATTTAACAAAAATCTACTATACAAAAGTGTTTTTTTTTTAACTATGACTTCAACAAGAAAATTCTTAAGAATTACCAAGACGGTTGAAATTGTATTTCAAGAAGCTTATATGAATTGTGCGATGATTTACTGGCCATTCTTTTAACTGCACAATTTAGACGATTTAGTTCTTTCGGTTATCTAAATATATATGACTCAAAGGTAACTGACTGACATAGTGATCTATCAACGCACAGTCCGAACCACTAAACGGATCGGGCTGAAATTTTGCATGCAGGTAGATGTTATGACGTATCTGCTAAGAAAGGATTTTGATCAATTCTACTCCCAAGGGGATAAAATAGGAGATGAAAGTTTGTACGAAACTTTGTCAACTTTAAACCGATCGGGCTGAGACTTTGCATGCATAAAGCTTCTATGACGTAAGCGTCCCCTAAGAAAGTATTTTGATAAATTCCACCCCTAAGGGGATAAAATAAGGGATGAAACTTTATTTCAGGTATTTTACACGATATAACGAATAAATATTCGTTAGAAATGCTGCTCAAAGTAACTTTACCACGCGGACGAAGTCGCGGGCAAAAGCTATTTTTTACATAAAAACGAAACTATTGATTGAATTTTGATAAATTTTAATGAGATTTTTCGAGAATACCTACATCTTTTCAAATAGAAAAACAAATATCTAAATTGATGTTACTATTTTTTTTCTTGTAAGTACATAATTGCACTTTTTTGGTATAATCTTACCTATATGTAATTAACATAAGTGAGTAATGTTATAGCCGAGGGTTACAAACACTTCTACTTTCTGGCTTTCGATTACCAATTAGTAGGTAATTAATTCGCCATCTTCTGTCTCTATCTATCTCATTAAATCCGAACAGACAGGAACAGAATTTTGGATTAATTCCTGCTCTCAAATGACTACAAACATCGTCGGCATAATGAAACTCGGCGCCTTAAGCAAAACTGCAACGAAGCCCATAAAAAAATCACAGCAAAAATAATAATAACGTATGTAACACCGATTAAAGAGTGTAATTTTGCCAGTGACAAATTAAACTCCATGTAGGTACCTAATGCTTGTTTCAAAATTTTGTACTTTCGAATACCGCGGACATGGACTCATGCTCAAAAAACAAAAGTTAATTTAAGATTCAAATAATTAGAGCAAACATAATCTGTTTGTCTTACCATGCCGCCCCCAAATACGAGCCCCCTAGGCAACTGACTAATATGCCTATTTAGATGGGCCCTGAGTACAAATAAAAACAAAAGTAATTATGTAAGTACTTTTATAAGAAAAGAAGGAAAAATGACTTTTGTAATAATGTATTGTATAAAAATCTAGCATTGTAGCGGCCTACAGTAAATAGTCAGTAGGAACTATATATACATAACTTATGTTTTCCCACATAATTTATATATCAAAAAACATGTTCGCGGTTTTTCGGTCAACTGATATGTAAACGTTTTGAGGTTAAAAGACTAGTACTATTATGGAAGTTGATAGGTGCCAATCAATTATTAATAAAGTTTAATGTTCTACCACAATACAGTGTACAGGTCTTCTTCACGTGATTCCACTATGAAGAGTACCTACCTATACCTATTAACCATATTATTATTTCTGTTAATTTTAATATTTACATTTTAAAACACATCTTCATATATCGTCGAGAGAATTAATTACTTGAGAAAGATATTTAAGAAGATATTTTTATAAAATAAACAAGAATTTGAATGAAGCTATAACAGTTAAAAGTTGGATTACGAAGTTCTTATTTCATTCAAATGCTCGTCTACTGTTTAAAGATACATATATGCTTAAGTTATGAAATCTTTTAATTATATTTTTATTATCATCTTCTTCTCGAGTAAAATTATTTTATTAATTTTACCGACCCTTTGTATAAATAGAGTTAGATAGTCAACTTACCAAAAAGATTAAATATCATCCTATACTTATACTAATAAATTAGTAATAAAACTAAACTAATAAAACAAATAAAACTAATAATAAACGAATAAGTGTTGACCCCATACAATATACGGTAAATCTCGAATAAAGATACGAGTGTAAGATTGAGAAATTTATATATTTTTTTAAACCAACTACAGGATCTTTCTTTTTTTTTTTTAAAAAGTTTTGAATGTTGTGTTTGAGATGTCCATGTGTATTTGTAATAAATATTGCTATTGATGTGCTGGACACGTCTTTTTGAGGTCAACTGTAGCCAACCTCGTTCCAACAGTTGTCTGTCGCGTTTAAAATTCTCATTATAGTTACGTTAGAACTTGATAATATAAATTATTTTATTATTCATTAGAATGACTTTATGAAACAGGCACTATGTCGGACTTTCAACTAAATACGTATATAACGACCTATTATTTGAATAAACAATTCTATTAACTTTTTTAAAAGTAATTATGTAAAACTTTTTTATTGTCGCTAAAAATATTCTATACTTCCGTCCTCTTATTTAGATACCTTTCAGCAAGGAGCATTCATCATTAATTGTTTTATATCTTTTGTTAATGCGTACACAAAAGATTCTTTTAAATTTCTTCGAAATTTATTTCAAGTTTCTTCCGACTTAGTAAAAAGTGATAAAAGAGAAGTTTTTTTATGGTCTGTCGTTACGAGGCTTGGACAGAGATATTAATCGACCAGATTCAATTTTACCCACACTGTTCTAAACACAATAGTAGGCGGTGATACGCAAACAGGGTCGAGTCGTATTGTTTTGTACACTGCGAGCAAAACGTTCGGATTCTGCTTTCGAACGTTAGTTCCGAACGCAGCGCAGCTGAGATTGACAGCTATCACTGACGTGCGCGCGATTTTTGTTTAGTGCGAAATGTCAACTAATAAAATTAGCGAAAAAATACAAAATGATACTAAACAGAACGGTTTGAGTGCATTTACAGATAAAAATTTCCCCCCTTTAAATGGTAGATACAGATCTAAAAGTTTATCTAGTGATAAGTTGAATCAGACGAATGCGGATCGTGCGGCAATTTTGGAGGATGTGGAGGCCCACTACATAACAGACAAAGCTGATACTCCAGGTTGTTTAGTACAGAACAGAAATATGGATACAAACACACAGCCCAAACTTAACGGGTAAGTTATTATATGGTTTCCCTAACGTTCTTGTAGCACGATTTCCACCTGTTGACCTTTGACAGCTAAATATTGCATTATGCTGATACGTCAATTTCCATTATTATATTTTGAATAATACCAATTAGTTAGGGACTTATTGTTACTGTCTTATTTTGAACTATCCGTTTTAATTTATTTTTTATGGTAGGTATGTCGAAATATAAAATTATTAACTACCTATCATTTTACAATATAATGATTATAAAAATGTCTAATCTTCAATATCAACATTAACTAAGTTACATTTAATAGCCATTAAAAATATGTTTCTTTCAAGTTAGAAATATGGTAATAATGACAATACCCTTCCTTTAATAAAAATAATGGTTGGATAACACCTCATAACTAACAAAATGCATGTTGATAGATAGACTTTGCTTTTAAATAAAAAATCAATATTTTTAAATAAAATATAAACATTACTCGTGGAAATATGATTTGTTTATTCATTTAATTAGTCAACTAGATTATGTACTTCCTCTATAAACAATTATCTTACTTGTTAACTAATTGTCACAAATAGACAAACATAACATTTGTCTATTAAAATAAAAGTTATTACACTCCTGATGAGATCATAAATGTTTCTATTGCAATGTGCCTTTGTTTACATAACTCTATTTAATTATTAACTCATATTTATAATGAAAAAAGTAAGAAAACAGTTATCTACTAAAAAAAAATAATTCTCTTTTAAAAGTTATTATGACGGGTCATTTAAAAAGTCCAGAGTAGTACTTAAAATGGCACAGGCGAGTTAATCAGTTCAATCATTAAAGTTTGAAAAGCAGCTTAATAATTAATTTAGCTAAGTTATAAATTAGAATTTGGCATTAGCATCTTACAACTTTACAAAAAATAAAAGCTATTTTCTGCTCCTAGTCACAATGTATTTTCCCCTCAAAATTTTAAGCTGTAATCATACCTGGCGTCCGTAGTATGCAGCGAGACATTTGCCTGAATTATCTAAGACTTTCTAAACTATTCAATGTCATTGTATTGTATGATTTCTTTCTATTGAAGTAATAAATTAGAAGAAGAACTCGGTTCAGATTGAGGGTGGGGAAAAAGAGGATACTAGCCCTGAGCGCTAGTGTAAAAAAAAAAATTAACATATTGATAATATTAAAATAATTTTAGGAAAACTTGCCATGAACTTGAAACGGTAACCTTTACTGATTGCATATATGATGTAGGTAATTGAGAATAATAAGTAATGAAATTGAGTTATAATCCCACATAACAGTTAAAAATACTATTGTGAAGAATATTGACAATGTTGGCTGACCTTGCTAGTTAAACAGCAAGGCAATATGTGGACGACGTCTTGTTGATGTTATTTGAACAGATCTTTTTATACTTAATCAAGAAATTATGTTTCTCTTGATATTAACTTATTATACAAAAATGTAATTTATAATATTAACTTTCTCTGAGCAAAAGTAGCTTGGTGATGTATTGGATAAGCGCCGCGGTCCGCGATCGTTGTTGTTAAGCAACTTTCTGAAAGGGTCACAGAATGGGTGGCCAAAAAATTATTGTCCTGAGGTACATGTTAAGCCGTTGGTCCCGGCTGCATAGGCACCCTCCAATCCGCATTAGGCCAGTGCGGAGACCAATCCTTCCTAGTCATTCATAAAGAAGACCGGAGTTCTCACAGTAGGAACATAAAAGGGTTGATAATGATGATGAACTTTTTCGGAAATTAAAGCTAGTTTATGTCTATCTTATAATTTTAAGTATCTCTATTAAACTATTATACAGATCAATTATTTTATTAGCAGACATTGAAATATAGCTGTTTCTTATTATTGCTTAGGAGTCATACAAATGTCCAAATTCCTAGTTTTCCTAATCCTTTTTACAGCTGGTCACACATATGAGACTGAGTACCTAGTGTGACGTTATGTATTTTACAGCACTTCTGAAATGACTTTTATTTCCATTAGAATATAGTACATTTTAAATAAGTGTTGTTTGAGGAATTTCAAATTTCGTGTTTTATATTCTTAAATTTTATAACTCTTCTCCCTTCCCATTTCAAATATGTAACATTTCATTGACCCTAAAGTAGAATGTAACTCTGGGTGACCCTTTACTTATGGAATGTTATTTTAATAATAATACTTCAATTTAGTATAGATGCAATTATAATAGAAGTAATAATATTTTGTAATTTGCAAACAAATGTAAACGGCACAAATCTACTTGAACCCGACCGATAATAGATCCCGGGACCTCAGAAATGGTGACATCTTGAAACCGGCGTGCGAACCACTCGGCTCTGGAGGTCATGTCTGAGGTCTGTAGATTATTTTTTTAATACCGTAGCTTTAGTTACCTGCAACGAGGTGATACACATTTGTATTTAATTTTTATCAGTGATTATCTTTATGTAAGTGGTTGCAGTAGCTCTTGAAAAGGGATGAAAATTATAGATAAGATTAGATTATGACATAAATCATGTCCATATGATGTGAAGTGGCTGTCTATGATATTGATTATTAAATAATCGTTAGACACGGTTTTATCGCCATCAACAAAGAGTTTGGTTTTTATGAAATTATTTTTAAGTAATGCAATATTATCTATATATATAAAAATGAATCGCAAAATGTGTTGGTAAGCGCATAACTCAACAACGCCTCGACCAATTTGGCCAAATCTTTTTTTAAAATGTTCGTTGAAGTTCAAGGATGGTTTTTACGGCGAGAAAAATTAGAATTATTGCTGGAAAAACCCTAAAAATAGCCCTTTTCTTTTTCCCATACAAATGATTTGTAACTAAAACGTAGTCAATTTGAGCTTTATTGCTATGGTATAAAGTTCATATTAAATTACAAGCACTCACTGTTGTCTAAGCAATGTAGGTGTGTTCCTAACGTCAAAGATCATATCTATCAAAACAATGTGCGTGTGTGCGTTGGAGCACAGAATACATAGTTGGAGGAGTTTAATGTCGCGTTCCGAAACTCGCGTTTCTTTTGTATTAGTTTCGGCACGCGAGATAAAATGCATCAGTTTCCACGTCATTATATGTATTGCCGGAACATTGATGAAAATACGCTCTGTAGTAGAAAAGCTGTTGGGTCCTAGATAGCTCATTGGTTAGAGCAGTCCCTGGATCGCGAATGGGTTCGAGTCCCATTCCGGGGTACAGGTAGATGGATTCTTCCAGCATTTTTCCTTGAGCATGTTTATATATTTTTTTAATTCGAATAGTTTACTCTTATAATGCTGTTGTGTGTAATGTGTTTTTATGATCATAAAAATCTCTTTTTTCTATATTTAATACTATTACTATTAATACATTGCAATAATAATTATGATTCACATGATTAACAATAAAGCAATTACTTACTTTTAAATCCTTATATATGTTTTATTTAATTATTTTTTATTCACAACGCCCTATCACCAGGGTGACGGTTCTGTTCAGGAGAATTTTTTTAAATACGTAGGCAAAAAAACTGCCACATTACAAATCTTTTTGACAGGACGAAGTCTGTCGGGTCAGCTAGTTACATAATAATATTCTACAACTCAAAAATGTACTGATTTGAACAGCAAAAAACATGAACAATGAATAGGGATGATGACTGGGCAAAAAAAATACAATTCTATTTAGTCCGTCAGTCAGATAATAGAAAAATATTAGATACGTATTTTTTTTACTTCAATATTACAAGAAATAGCTTAGATAACAGGCATTAAAGTTGAGGAGTGGGGGCTCGCTACGTCACAGTTGAGTAGAAAACGTACTCTAACGTGACGTCATGCGAAATTTCAACTCAATGTAACGCCGTAATTTTATGATTACGAAAAAAATAAAAAAAATACGTGTTTAATTTTTTTTAACATTCTACCTGACGGACAAACAAACAAAAATTAGTCATCATCCCTATTATCGAAAATTACGGATTTATTCAATCCAACTAGTTAACGTCCTCATAAAGTACCAATTATCGATATACCTATGAGTTCCAGATCAGGAAGAAGATATTGCAGTATGGACTAGTTTCAGTTGTTCTCGAATAATCGATAGCTTTGTTTGTAATCGCAATGCCCAGAGAAACTTTTAGCAGTATAAGAACTATCCTATTTCAAAAACTAATTCTACCTGCTGCCTGACTGTATCCAAATATGGTTTCCGAAGTGGTCCAGTTGTAACGGTGCTGCATCACCGACACCGTCCTCTTTACTTACATCTCCATGTCCATTCGTTACAAAGTATGTTTCCGATATTTTAAATTGCACATTGTAAATTATCTGTTAGTAGCGGCGTATTATATTAAGCGTCAGCTTGTGGCAAGTTCTTCCATACTATGGTTACCTATCTTTATCAATCTAATAGTAAAACTATTACCTAGGATTAATACTCTAAATTATAGAAAATTACTTACCAATGGGCAGTGCCAATTGTCTCAGATTATTGTTTCTTAAAAACTACCCCTATTGCCGTGTCCGGATACGTTACACAATAAGTTGTACAGTTTGCGTTACAATCATCGAAGCGCCCAAGGATTGTCAAAGAATGTGAAGTCCAGAAGTGCATTAATATTATATCCAATCAAAGCTGCGTTTGATCTCAAGACGCAAAGTGATCAAAAATATAATTTCCTTTACCCTTTCTTCAATTTTTCTATTAACTAATAACTTGATTTGAATCGATTCATGTTATTTAAGAAGATTAAATTGAAGACGATTCGCGTACTTAGACCAATATACAACTTCAATTGCCTAGATACAATTGAAATTCTGTACTTGTCACTTTTTGATCACCTCTGGCGCTTCGATAATTAAGACGCTGACTGACGGATAATATATATATTATATTATCCGGATGGTTTACCATCCAACCGCTTTCATATCGTTGTTCGTATGACAAGTGTATATTTACTAGTCACGTGCTTTGAAACTCGGCCCATTGTTATATTCGAAGAACACGTGAACTATAT